CGCAGATGGCTCCTCTCTGCGGGCCTCACTTCAGCCAGGCCTCAGGGACCCAGGCTCTGCTGCAAGGAACATACACTGGAACAGTTCAGAATTGTCATACACTGCTTCCACCATGCCCTGCTCCGCCCCAGCCACATGCCCAGCTGGGCATTGTCTTGGCTTTTGTTTTGATTTTGTAGTACTTAGGGACTAAACCCATAGCCTCGTGTTAGGAACACGAACTAACCACTGAGATAACATCTCCATACCTTAAAAAAAATACGTTTCTCGGTGTGGTAGAGCTTGCCTTTAATCCCAACACTCAGGAGGCAGAGGCAGGAGGATTTCTGTGAGTTCAAGGCCATCCTGGTCCACCTGAGTTCTAGGCCTGTCAGGGCTATATAGTGAGTCCCTGTCTCAACGCAACACAAATGGGGTTGGAAAGAGGACTCAACTGTTAAAAACACTGAATGCTCTTCGAGAGGACTGAGTTTGGTTCCTAGTACCCACATAGTGGCTCAAAACTGTCTGTAACTCCAGTTCCAAGGGATCCATTGCCCTTTTCTGAACTCCACAGGCACTAGGCATGCGCAAAGCACACTTACATGCATGCGGGCAATACATTCATACACATAAAAATATAAAAAGATTTTCTAAAAATAACAAAACAAAAAAGCATCTTCAAAGGAACTTCATCAGTGGCCAAGTTGCCCAAGCAAGGGTCAGAGAGCTCCTTTTGTCACCAATACTTTGATAAAAAGGAAAAGCTCACTGTAAATGTCAGTGGGTGCAGATAAAGGCCGTTTGACCCTGGGCCTGGTGGCACTTACTTGCAATCCCCACACTCTGAAAGCTGAGGCAGGAGACTACTGCAAAGTGAGAGCATCCTAGGTGAGAGAGCTGGTCTCTTGTCTCAAACAAATGAAACAAAAAGAGTAGGACTATGGGGAGGGAGGATGATGGGTGGGGATAAAAGACTCCGCTTTGCACAAGGAGATAACATGTTCTTTGTAATTCCAGATAAACACACACACACACACACACACAGAGTTCATGGGCCCATGGTACATTGTGCGTCCTTCCAGTCTCCTTAGAGAAAAAAAGGTCAAAAACTCTCACACACCAACTCATTAGAGAACCTCATTAGTCTACAGCTTATGGTGCACAAGCAACACCCCTTCATCCACAGCTCCCCAACTTCAGAGTCTCAGATGCAGTTAGCCAGTCCGTGCGTCAGGC